GAAACTCATCAAGACAATAATGTAAACATATAACATGCTATAGAATTACACAAACAATTATCACATATCAATTCCAATCTAGGAATTCATTTTAAAACATTTCTAATACTCATTTCTATCAATTTCTCAACAATTGGTAAGTAATATATAATTCTATCAACCTACCTTAGAGAATAAACCTAAGTAGGAGGGAACCCTATCTCTTTAAGCATAACAACACGTTAAGAAGCTTTAAGAATTTAACCCGAGCTCAAATTCAAGCCCTCCCAAAATTTTGTCTTCTAAACCTTCAGTGAAAGCCTTCGTTTTTGATATGGTTGCGTAGCCCCCGACGCGAGAAACAACTTTCCTTCTTGGTCTGAGTAGATTCGAGCACCACAAGGCCGTAGATCGTAGAAAAAAGTGGAGAAATCCTCACTTTTTCCCTCTCTTCTTCTATCGGATAACAAATGAACGATTTGGGGAAGAAAATCTAATTTTCTTTCCCTTTTTATAGTCCCCCAATACTTGGTCCATAATTTGCCACATGATCCTCTTTTTTTCGGGTCCGTTTTCACCCCGAAAATTTAAATTTCATCCCGGTTCAGGTTCAAAAATATTTTTATTTTAAATTATCTTAAATTATTTTTTAAATTTTAAAATTTTATTAAAAATTTCATTTTTGGGCACCCGAGACTTGACCTTCTTGAAAAACGTAAAAATATCGATTATCTCAGAATTCGATGAAATTTGACAGGGTAGCTAGATTTCATGAGACGAATTCAATGGGGAGGTTCGTTTTGTCATCTGAGTTTTAAAAAAAATTTAGATTTACAACCCGTACTGTAATGACAAATTATCATTATACCCCTTTTGTGAAAAGTTTAAATTTACCCGGGTTTTATAGTATTCTTTGTTGTGATGATATCTAATGCATGCTTGTTCCTATAATATGTTTTGCTTTGGTAATTTAAAGTGCTCCATAGCAAACACTACTTGTTGGCTATGGATGTTTTACTATAATTTGTGTGAGTGACAATTTTTATGGATGAAGATAGTGATATCANAAGTGCTCCATAGCAAACGCTACTTGTTGGCTATAGATGTTTTACTATAATTTGTGTGAGTGACAATTTTTATGAATGAAGACAGTGATAGTAATTTGTCATTGGTGGTTGTTTTGGATAGTGTCCTCTCTGATATGGTTATGATATGCTCATGTCTAATTGTTGTGATTGTAAATTTGCTAGAATTTCATGAAATTCAAAAAAACAATAGGATCTCAAGCTTAGTCACACGAACCCGACTGCAAATAGAGTATCTTACTAGATTGATAGGTGAAATTGATATAACATACTACAATCAACTTAGGATGGACCGATGATTTTTTTCTATATTGTCCACACTAGTTGAACATGTTGGTGGGTTCAGTCGTACAAAGAATGTTAGCATTGAAGAAATGGTAGCTATGTTCTTGAGTGTTATTAGTCATGATAATAATAATAGACCAGTAAAATTCAGTTTCATTTGATTCGGTGAGACGATTAGCAAGTATTTCAATGCAGTGTTGTTGGCGGTTCTTAGGCTACGTTGATTACTGCTTGCAATCCCTAATCCAATCATAGATGAATGCACTGACCATAAGTGAAAGTTTTTTAAGGTATTCTGAGGTTTTTTAAAGTATATCCACATTTGAGTTATCACGTTACGTAGTATGTAATTAGCGAAATATTAGTTGATAATATGTTTATTTTCTATTGTATAGAACTGTGTTGGGGCTTTAGAGCAAAAGTGTCAGTTGTGCACGAAGAAAGATATAGGACAAGGAAGAGGCAAATTGCAATAAATGTGTTAGGTGTATGTGCACTTGACATGAGAATCATTTATGTTTTGCTTGATTGGAGGGATCAGTGCCAGATTCAAGAGTCATTTGCGATGCAGTTACAAGACGTACTGAGTTACGTGTTCAATGGGTAAGTTATAGTGGAAATTTTTAGTATTAGTCTTCTTTTTTTTTGGAAATTGTTTACTAATGGATATATACACAATTACGACAGACACATATTATTTATGTGATGTTGGATACACCAATGGTGAGGGTTTCTTAACTCCTTTCAAGGGTCAACAATACTATCATGGCGAATTTGGAAGTGGAAGGGCAACTCCTCGTAATGCTGAGGAATATTTTAACCCAAAACATTCCTATGCCAAGAATGTTATTGAGAGGTGTTTTGCTCTCCTCAAGATGCGATGGACAATCCTTCGAACTGCCTGTTTCTACCCAATCCCCACACATAACAGAATTATTGTTGCTTGTTATCTGTTACATAATTTCATTAGAAATGAGATGCTAGTTGACCCATTGGAAGACTACATACCTAAGATGTTCTTAATGAGGATGATGACAATACCAACACCAATGTAGTTGACAGTGTTGAGACCTTTACTGCATGGACTGCTTGGAGGACACAGTTGGTGAATGAAATGTATGGGGCATGACAAATGGGTAGATGAATTTGGGGGAGAGGTGGTTGTTTTGTGACCTTAAATTAGTAGATTAAATGGTTGATATGTTTGCAATGTGTTATTGATACTTAGTCTAGTTTGATTAATGGTTGTCCTGAATGTTATGTAATACAATTATTTGGTGGTGTTATTATGCAATATATTTATATTTGTCGTACTGTAATTGATTTTACATTGCATATTCACTTTAGACTGATAAATACATATGTATGTGTGTGTGTGTTTGTGTGTGTGTGTGTAGAATATGGCTAGTGTTGATAGCTCACATGTTATAAGTGGTAGTCAATTGAAAAAAAGTACCAGGCGAATATGGACAAGTGTGGAAGAGACCCCACTATTATCTGCACTGAAGGATCTATGTGCAGTAGGGTTGAAGTGTCTTAATGGTACATTTAGGCCAGGTTATCTTCAGATGCTAAAACAAAGACTTGGCAGTAGTACACTTCGTGCACATCCACACATTGAATCAAAGATAAAAAAGTGGAAGAGGCATTATAATTGTATACTATCTATGATGAACACGAGTGATTTCAGGTTTAATGACACTAATAACAAAATTGAGGTTGATTCTGATGATGTTTGAGAGGAGTATTTAAAGGTAATTTGGTATGATATACCACTTTTTAATTAATAGAGGTTTTTTATTATTTTTAGTACTCCACTTATTCGAGACATGTTCTTTCATGATATAATTGTTGTAGAAGGATAAACAGGGTAAGGGGATGCATGAAAAATGTTGACCATACTGCAAAGATTGGGAAATTATTTTTGGCAACGATTGCACACACAAGAGAATTTGCGAAGGATCTTGATGAAATGATATGAGGGAATGACAATGAGGATGCAAACCATGAAGTTGACCGTACAAACATTAACAATGAAAATGAGACAAATGGCACAAGTCATAGTACAAATCAAGGCATGCATATTTTCNAGAATTTGCGAAGGATCTTGATGAAATGATATGAGGGAATGACAATGAGGATGCAAACCATGAAGTTGACCCGACAGACATTAACAATGAAAATGAGACAAATGGCACAAGTCATAGTACAAATCAAGGCATGCATATTTCCACTAACACCCATACTTCCAAAAAGACGAAGAAAAGAAAGGCTTCAACAGATGCCGAGGTCATTGCAGGTAGCTTGGGTGATATGACAAGGGTCTTAGGTGATTATGTTGCTACTTGTGGTCTTAAGCTTGATAATATTGCACATTGGGTAGGCCATGTCTAAGATGTTTCTAAATCGAGAATAAGAATCTTTGTTGAACTTGAGAAATTTGGGTGGTTTGATGAGGATCTACTCTCTAAGGCTGGTTACAGAATTGCCTCTGATTTGGTTAAGGTTGACTTGTTCTTTAGCTTGTCTGACAGTTCAAAGTCATCTTGGGTAAGGAAATTATTGTACGGATCAAACTACCAACAGGTGTAGGGTTAAGTATGGTACTTTTTTTGATGTAAAATATGTTTAAGTACATTTTGGTGATGTTTATTATGAAGTTTGAACAACTTAGTCGTACTTGCATAATGATGTGATGTTTATTAACACTTGTTTTTTATATTGGTATGCACACTGTCTAGAAATGTACTAACATGTATTTAGTTAGATAAGTGATGCACAGGAGAACAAATTTTTACGTCGTGTTTGTTGGAAGACAAGTTGGTATCTATACGACATGACAAGAATGTCATGTGCAAACGAATAGGTATCTGAGTGCGTTTACAAGTCTTATGATTCGTACGACGAGGCTGAAAGGGCATTGCGCACGTACATTGAAAATGAAGATGTAGTAAGAGATGTTCAACATGAATGTGAAGTGGTTGTCCATCAAAATCAACCTCTAGATAATCTTCGTATAGAAGATACAATGGGTATTCCTCTAGCAGCTCTGGTAGTTTTTGGGAGCGATGACGAAGGCGAGGGAGACCGTAATGTCGGTAACTATCTCATGTATATTGTGATGTTTTTATTGGTTATGGTACTAATCCATATTCTTTACTTTTTTCTGGGTAGACTTTCTTGAACTGTGTTTGTATTTTGTTTGGTAACTTTTGGACAATCTTTATGGTTAGTGTTTGAAATGTTACCTCCTATGTTTTGACATTAACTGGGGAATGTATGACTATAGGTAACATTATGAATGGATTTTTATTGTAATTGATTTTTGTGTTATGATGTGATTGTATTGTTTAATGAATTTGTATAAATTGGTGTTGTGTCAATGGTTTGTGCATTTGGTTTGCACAATATTATGTAGAAAATGTCAGTTCCTCGAATTAGTGATGCAGAAAGTGAAGTGTTGATGACGTTGTTACTTCAAAACAAACAACGGGGCATAGTGCCTGAATAAGGCAGCATGACAGCCCAACACTTCATGGATGTGTTAATGTGGGTGAAAAGGAGATTGCTTGCATGCATGTTGCATTGATCAAATTCACCTTGTCAAGATTATATTTTTTTTGGAAGAAGCAATACTTCACTATCAAAGCTATGTTGAAGACAAGGATGTTTGCTTGGGACTCGGCTGACTTGTGTGTCGTCGATGGGCCGATCGTTGGGGCACGTGACTACCTGGTGGTAAGTATTTAATTCAAAACTATATTAATGAATATCATCTTCTGCCTCTTTGTTTGATTTGTTTTCACATTCGCTTGAATTCTTGATGTGTTTAAGATTGATTAACTTGCAGGCAAACAAGTTTGCAATAACACATTGCATTGATCCATGTCCTTTGTTTGAGAAAATGATGGAGGTTTTCAATAACGTGTCGTCGGAAGAGCTGATTAAAAGTGTAGGCTCCTATTCGGGTGGGTGATCCAGCAGAAGACATAGAGATTATAAATGTTTCTGATTAAGCTTAGTCCCTGTTAGAGTATGACTGTATGTAAAATATACTTTCTACATACTATTTTGGTTTTTGGGTATGAATACGTGTGGTAGTAGTTGTTGTTCAAGTGTCCTAGAGAGTTTCATCTTTTGAGAATCCCCTTAGCTTGTTTATATTATGTATGTAAAATTTTTTATGGTGGATGTTTTAAAATTGCTTGTGTAGCGAGTTATTATTGTTATTTGATGGCTCTAGCTTCTTGCACTGGTATCTTATATTTAGTGGCAATTGATGTGCTTGATGTAGTATATTTGTTGATGTGTTGCGCATTCATTATGTTTTTTTTAAGGGAATGATAGTGTTGTGTGTATTGTGCTAGAAATGATATCCAGACATTGTTCAAATGGAGTTGTGAGTTGTTGTCGTGTTAAGGATGGAAGACAGATTCAACAGTGTGGGAATGTTGTTGGAATTTTTTTGCTAGAACTCCATTGTTACTGGAATTCCATTGTTACAGGAATTTTTGTGTGTAGGATATGTTGGTCTGTGTGTGTGTGTTACCTGGGAGACAGATTCAACAGTGCATGCAAACCACGTGGGAAAAAAAAACAAGGTTTTTGTTAGTTTTAGTCATGCACAGATGGTTGTACTAACAAACAAGGGCATGCATTTCTTTGGATTATAAGGTTGCATTGTCTTTTTACATTGAATTGTTCATTTGACACACCTTTTTAGGTAGCTATCACACAAATCATTTTTGTAAAAAACAAATAACGGGAAAGATGCGATAAAAGTTTAAGACTAAATATAGTATCCTATTAGATAGAAGTGAAGTGGATGTCATTTCTAATACCACCCATAAATAATCCTTGAAACAAACATGCCCTTAGTAGCCAAAATTCAAAAAATAATTTCACCTCTTAGATGATATTATATAAACCTATGTATATGAGTTTAGGTGGCTGAAACAAATGGGTTGATATTACGGTTTAAAAAATAATATCACAAAAAAAACAAATAAATCAAATATTACTAAACATTGCGTACTATTTTCTCCAATTACATCCCTTTATACCATCATTATCTGTGAAACAAGTCTTTCGTTAACCACCCGATTTGCGGTACTCAAAAGTCAATGTCCATTCCTACCTATGGGTTTGGTCATCTTTATTATAGAAAGAAAAATAAAAACAAATAAATTCAAAGCGTGAAGTATAATTTTAATAATTTCGAGGTGGCGATGTGCATTTTGTCAAACATCGTGAGCCCCACCCCACATCACGCGTGCTCTTCATCCAACGGCTACAGTCCAACCCTCATTGTACGGAAAGCTTTCCCAGCTCAATCTAACGGTTCAGAATCTCCGGGTTTGACTCTTGAATGTCTACAACCAGCCCTTTGGCACACCTCCCCAAACCACCAACACCACATTTACATCTCACCAGACACCAGCCCATCACCCACTCCTCTGTCTAGAGTTTCATCACTCTCTCTCTCTCTCTCTCTCTCTCTCTCTCAATTTTGGTAGAAAAAGCTTCATCTTGAAGCTCTGATCTTCTCAGGAACCCTATTTTCTTGGAACTTCAAGCTCTCTAACCGCTCTTTGTATGTATAGCCAGGCCTATAGAGTTAATTTTTGAGATTATTCTACTATTGATTTCCTGCTAGATCTTACGATTATGAGTCTATGTGGGTATATATGTACGTCTACATGCTCATACACGCACCACAGAAGAACTTTAAAGTCTGTGAGGGAGAAAAAAGGAAAATAAAAATAATTTTCAAGTTCAATAATTGTTGATTTCCTTCAACTTATTATCTTTCTCTCCTTGATCTGTTTGTATTAGCATGTATTGTTGTCAATTTTATTGATTATATATATATGTATATATATATATATATATATTTATTTATTTATTTATGTGTTATCTAATATGTACTATATGTTTATGNTGTTTGTATTTTGTTTGGTAACTTTTGGACAATCTTTATGGTTAGTGTTTGAAATGTTACCTCCTATGTTTTGACATTAACTGGGGAATGTATGACTATAGGTAACATTATGAATGGATTTTTATTGTAATTGATTTTTGTGTTATGATGTGATTGTATTGTTTAATGAATTTGTATAAATTGGTGTTGTGTCAATGGTTTGTGCATTTGGTTTGCACAATATTATGTAGAAAATGTCAGTTCCTCGAATTAGTGATGCAGAAAGTGAAGTGTTGATGACGTTGTTACTTCAAAACAAACAACGGGGCATAGTGCCTGAATAAGGCAGCATGACAGCCCAACACTTCATGGATGTGTTAATGTGGGTGAAAAGGAGATTGCTTGCATGCATGTTGCATTGATCAAATTCACCTTGTCAAGATTATATTTTTTTTGGAAGAAGCAATACTTCACTATCAAAGCTATGTTGAAGACAAGGATGTTTGCTTGGGACTCGGCTGACTTGTGTGTCGTCGATGGGCCGATCGTTGGGGCACGTGACTACCTGGTGGTAAGTATTTAATTCAAAACTATATTAATGAATATCATCTTCTGCCTCTTTGTTTGATTTGTTTTCACATTCGCTTGAATTCTTGATGTGTTTAAGATTGATTAACTTGCAGGCAAACAAGTTTGCAATAACACATTGCATTGATCCATGTCCTTTGTTTGAGAAAATGATGGAGGTTTTCAATAACGTGTCGTCGGAAGAGCTGATTAAAAGTGTAGGCTCCTATTCGGGTGGGTGATCCAGCAGAAGACATAGAGATTATAAATGTTTCTGATTAAGCTTAGTCCCTGTTAGAGTATGACTGTATGTAAAATATACTTTCTACATACTATTTTGGTTTTTGGGTATGAATACGTGTGGTAGTAGTTGTTGTTCAAGTGTCCTAGAGAGTTTCATCTTTTGAGAATCCCCTTAGCTTGTTTATATTATGTATGTAAAATTTTTTATGGTGGATGTTTTAAAATTGCTTGTGTAGCGAGTTATTATTGTTATTTGATGGCTCTAGCTTCTTGCACTGGTATCTTATATTTAGTGGCAATTGATGTGCTTGATGTAGTATATTTGTTGATGTGTTGCGCATTCATTATGTTTTTTTTAAGGGAATGATAGTGTTGTGTGTATTGTGCTAGAAATGATATCCAGACATTGTTCAAATGGAGTTGTGAGTTGTTGTCGTGTTAAGGATGGAAGACAGATTCAACAGTGTGGGAATGTTGTTGGAATTTTTTTGCTAGAACTCCATTGTTACTGGAATTCCATTGTTACAGGAATTTTTGTGTGTAGGATATGTTGGTCTGTGTGTGTGTGTTACCTGGGAGACAGATTCAACAGTGCATGCAAACCACGTGGGAAAAAAAAACAAGGTTTTTGTTAGTTTTAGTCATGCACAGATGGTTGTACTAACAAACAAGGGCATGCATTTCTTTGGATTATAAGGTTGCATTGTCTTTTTACATTGAATTGTTCATTTGACACACCTTTTTAGGTAGCTATCACACAAATCATTTTTGTAAAAAACAAATAACGGGAAAGATGCGATAAAAGTTTAAGACTAAATATAGTATCCTATTAGATAGAAGTGAAGTGGATGTCATTTCTAATACCACCCATAAATAATCCTTGAAACAAACATGCCCTTAGTAGCCAAAATTCAAAAAATAATTTCACCTCTTAGATGATATTATATAAACCTATGTATATGAGTTTAGGTGGCTGAAACAAATGGGTTGATATTACGGTTTAAAAAATAATATCACAAAAAAAACAAATAAATCAAATATTACTAAACATTGCGTACTATTTTCTCCAATTACATCCCTTTATACCATCATTATCTGTGAAACAAGTCTTTCGTTAACCACCCGATTTGCGGTACTCAAAAGTCAATGTCCATTCCTACCTATGGGTTTGGTCATCTTTATTATAGAAAGAAAAATAAAAACAAATAAATTCAAAGCGTGAAGTATAATTTTAATAATTTCGAGGTGGCGATGTGCATTTTGTCAAACATCGTGAGCCCCACCCCACATCACGCGTGCTCTTCATCCAACGGCTACAGTCCAACCCTCATTGTACGGAAAGCTTTCCCAGCTCAATCTAACGGTTCAGAATCTCCGGGTTTGACTCTTGAATGTCTACAACCAGCCCTTTGGCACACCTCCCCAAACCACCAACACCACATTTACATCTCACCAGACACCAGCCCATCACCCACTCCTCTGTCTAGAGTTTCATCACTTTCACTCTCTCTCTCTCTCTCTCTCTCTCTCTCTCAATTTTGGTAGAAAAAGCTTCATCTTGAAGCTCTGATCTTCTCAGGAACCCTATTTTCTTGGAACTTCAAGCTCTCTAACCGTTCTTTGTATGTATAGCCAAGCCTATAGAGTTAATTTTTGAGATTATTCTACTATTGATTTCCTGCTAGATCTTACGATTATGAGTCTATGTGGGTATATATGTACGTCTACATGCTCATACACGCACCACAGAAGAACTTTAAAGTCTGTGAGGGAGAAAAAAGGAAAATAAAAATAATTTTCAAGTTCAATAATTGTTGATTTCCTTCAACTTATTATCTTTCTCTCCTTGATCTGTTTGTATTAGCATGTATTGTTGTCAATTTTATTGATTATATATATATGTATATATATATATATATATATTTATTTATTTATTTATGTGTTATCTAATATGTACTATATGTTTATGTCAGATTGGGTCTATCCGATCTTCTGTGCAGAGCTTTATATTTCTTTGACATTCAACTGATATGAGTTGCCTTAGTTTTATGAATTTAAGGGTTTCTAGAAGAGTTTGTGTTTCAGACTTGGGAATTTGTGGCTGCTGTTGGGGTTTATGTGATTTATACAGCTTTGTGCTTGCTTTCATTTATGGGGTTTTTTTATGTTGCTTCAGTGAAGGTTTAAAAGGCCATAGAGTAGATCAACATGACGTGGACGTCTTCTTCTTTGAATTATTGCGGGAATTGTGTTCGCTTGGTGGTGTTCTTTCGTGTCATACTGTAATTTGATTGTGTAGGTGAGAAATCTCCCTTCCTTTCCTTTCCCCTTAAATTTACAGTTATTGTGCTTCGAATTTTTGTTTCTTATATGGCTGAAAGATTTGGATTATGTAAAGATGAAAAAAGGAGAAACTTGTTTTACCTAAGTATTAGTCATTTTTGCAATGCTATGATGGAAAAGGGAAAAGTGTGGAGTACTCTTACTGAGATTGACGCATGGATGCATAGCAGGATGCTTTGGAATTGGAGTTCGTGGAAATGGAATAACATTTGGACTAATTTTCTTTTGCTTTTTTGCCCGAATGCTTTGACTTTCTGCTTCAAAACGCAGCATTTTGTTTTGGTTGCAATGGCCATTAATAGGAAGTTAAACTTGGGGTTAATGACTAGAATGTTTATGGTTGATTTTTTTTATTAGGATGTAATTCAGTTGCAAAATGCTAATGAGTGTTTTACTTGGTTTCCTGGTGTAGGTCTATCTGCTTGATTTGGGAGGTTTTCCCGTGTTATTATTGCTTACTATCTAATTTCGGTGGGAGGAGTGAGAATGTACGTTGCAGTTACAGTGAGGAGATATCGAGCAGTGAGAGAAGTTGGGAAGATTAAAATGAGTGATGGGATCATTGCTTATTATCAATTGATGCAAGTTTGTCAGGTAATTGTGTCTTACTGATAATTATGATCTCCTACAGAATTTTTTCAAGAACCATAGGTTTCATAATCTGATCTAACATGGTAGTAAAACCTGTCATTGTTTCTATATTTGAAACACTGAAATTCATGTGCAAAACTCCAGTGGTGTGGTTTTGGAAAAATTTAATGACCATTGGTAATTTTATTGTTTTAATCAAATTGTCTTCAATGTTGTTGAGAAAGGACTGGATGATATTAATTTGCCTTCCGAACCCTAAGAAGCACGGATACGGTGCATAGCGGTAGATGCGTTTTGACATGGACACGTCTTTTCTCAAAAAGTAGGACACAAATAGGCTNCTGGATGATATTAATTTGCCTTCCGAACCCTAAGAAGCACGGATACGGTGCATAGCCGTAGATGCGTTTTGACATGGACACGTCTTTTCTCAAAAAGTAGGACACAAATAGGCTTTTTTTTTGACCAGATACAAATATGTTGTTGAGATGTTACAAATAATTAGGTTGAACATACAAGATTATATAATTTATAACAAATATGGATTTAACTATTGTAATATTATTAGAACTCCCGTACTTATGACAAGCACATCTTATGCTTAATCAACTTGTGTGGATTTTTTGGACTCAAGAATCATAGTATTTGGTAAAATATTTATACATCCTTTGCTTTCATTAGTAAATTTTAAGTACATCTTTAATATGACTAGTGTTACAAATGTATATCTTTCATGTTATAAGATAGTCATTTGTCAAAGTTCTAAACTTTGGTAATTACAATTCAACATATGTTGATATTAAAGTTGACAGAACCTAAAGATGTGTCGGACCCATCACCAAAAGCTTATCGAACACGTGTTTGAAACTAAAATTTTACCTTCAATTGTGGACACAGATAAAAGAGCATTGGACAAATGTCAGAGAAGTGTCGGTCTTGAGCATTGGATACATCATCTTTGTAAGAGTATCCTGGCTTTTGAGTCTGAAACAATTCAAGCAGAAATATTTTCAAAAATTTTGTCAGTTTTATCTTTGGACTTCTCACTGAATGTTCAAAATGGGCTTTTTTGGGATGGCTTTCTTGAAGCTGCATTGATTAAAAGTAAGGAGGAAGAAATTGGATCCGGTGAAACTGAACCATAATGGGAACCAAGAATAGACTTTTTGAAAAAGAAATTCATAATCAGCAGTTTCTTTACGTATTGTATGTCATCTTCCTTTGTTAGCGATGTGAACCACTTCCTACTGTTGCACACTAAATATTAATTTTCTGAATCTTTCACCCATTCATCTAGAATGAAAACCTGATTTTTTTTTCTTTTAGTTTTTCCATTCTTTTTCTGCATCCTTTTTCGATGGAAATTAACCTGTATGGTCTGAATATTCTTGAATCCTATGATATGTGTCAAATAACAAGAAATTAGATTTGTGGATTCCACAAATTTCACTCCAGAATGAAGGTCCTAGCTAACATGATAAACAATGTACGGGCAGAGATCCATTCTTGGGATGCCCCTTTATGAATGACTGCTATGCGGCCACAGTTGATAATGTCATGTTAAATATCAAGATTGTGCTCATTGACACTGTTCATCTTCGTTCATGTCAGACATCAATTGCAAGATATAACTTTGATACTGTTAATCCCTTTTTGGTGAGTTTGAACATGTGAATAACGTTAATTCTCATTGTCTCTCATTTGCTTTACAGGCTGAGTATTTCCGTCAGTTGCTTAAACCTGTTACGTAGTCTAGTACAGTAGGAGCCTTGGGACATTGAGAGTGGTGACAAGTGATGAAGCTTACTTGCGATGACTGTTGATTTGGAGTAGACAGTTCTTGTACTGTTTTGGAAACACCTCGAGTGTATTAGTTAGTCTTCTAATTGCCTTAGGAACTTTCTTCCAATAAAACATTGAAAATTTGCAGTATCAGAAGGCACAGATTTGTCTTTCACTTAACAGGACTTCACTCAACAGGACTTCTCATGCAGAGTGACCAGCAATTTTTCCTCAAAAAGCCAGTGGTCCCCCTTGCTGATCAAGTGGGTGGTGCTTACATCCATAATGCTCCTATTGCATCCACTTTTGGTGGAACAGTTGTGCCTCCAGGTGCTAATGCTGTTGAATTTCAACCCTCTGAGGTTTGTCCAAGGAATTTCATTATCTTTGACAAGACTGATAACAGAAGCCAGATCATGTTCCACCCAGCCATTGGCTCCAAATTTGGTTATCCTGGTTTGAATATAGGGGCATCTTACTTCCATGCTATTATTGACAGGAAAGATGCAAATAGCGGGAGAGAGAACTCTTTCATGAAAGAAGATTCAGATGATATTGATGCATTGTTAAGCTTGGAAGAGGAAGAAAGCGACGAGGAAGAGGTCAGCACAGCACGAACACATGGAAACAGTGGAAGTGATTCCCCTGATTCTTGCTCCAATTATGGTTCAAACCCCGGAAAGAGTAGATTACCTTCTTTGAAGAAATCCTCTGCTAGTGGCCCCAGCTGCAGTGAAAGTAAGCGCCGGAAAATGAGGAAGATGGTGAAGGCACTGAGAGGAATCGTGCCTGGTGCCAACCAAATGAATACGGTGGCTGTTCTTGATGAAGCTGTTAAGTATCTGAAATCTCTCAAGGTTGAAGTGCAGAAGGTTGGAGTTGGAAATATGAAGTGCTAGGTTTCAGTCTCTACTGCTATAAAAAGGATTGAGCTATCTTAGTTTTTGTTTGATACTACAAGCAATTATCCTTCACCTCATCAATTAGGACTCTATTCCCCTCCCCTCTCCCACATCCTACACTTTCGCTGTAAGTGGCTATTAATTCTGGTTTTCTGTACTTGTTGACATGTTGGAAATCTCGCTGCTGTTTTGTGACTGCCATATCAATCATATGTTCTTGTTGTATGTACTATTTTAATTTCCTTTGTCTGTTTTTCTGTTAACTCTTTGAACTCTCTGTTAACTGCTTAATAATTATTTAATACTTGTGAGTCTGTCCTGTCGTAGGGTCTTATAGCTGCTTTTGCTTGTTCCTTTGTTAATATATGCTTATCCACATTTTTAATGGTTATCATTTCATGCTGAGTTCTAAGATGTTTGATCAAGGGTGTGGCTAAGTCTGAGTCCCTTTTTCCTTCACACCCTCATAATTGAAGAGAACGTTGCCCTTTCCTTTCAACTTTCCCATGAAACCTTCCGTGAATTTGGCCGGATAAGATCAGATAGTGCCAGTGGTTGGGAAAAAGTTTGATTGTCATGAGGGGCTGACTTTCATGTGGAATGGGTTAGCTTATAAGTCAATTCTAGCTCCTTCTTTTCATTCCTAAGTGGGTGTCAATTATTACTTTATGTCTTGCTCGGATCTTAGGTGTGCATCTTTTGACTACTAGTTGCAAGGCTTTTTTTTTGGTGCTGCGAATTTTGAGACATAGAAATCATGGTCTTCAATGCATTATCCTCCTCTCTTATCCCTCCCCCCCTCCCCCATACCAAACATACACACCACTTTTCTCTCATCCTTTACTTTCTTTTTCTTAACCTCTTGGCTGCTCCAGTAGGTAGTGCTGTTGGTGGTGCACTAGTGAACTTTGCCTGCCATTGTGTTTTAAAGTTTGTGGCCTCGTATAGGCCCTACAACTAGGAGTTTTATTTGCTGATGCTGCTCCTATTTTGTTCCTTCCTCATCGATGTACAAGCTGAGATGGCCAACTTGGACCAGCTCTTCTAAGTAATACTTCAAAGACCGACAGTTATCAATCATGTGCCCGACATCCCAATGGTAGGTACGCCAAAGGTTCGAATTCCTCTTCTCTAGATCGCCAGCCAATTTGGGGGGCCACTTGATG